ACAATGTACCATACAAATTTGAAGGATTTTTTCCGTAGGGTATTTGTCTTTGTTTTTTGTCTAAGGTTTTTTGTCTTTGTTTGTCAAATAAACCATGTTCAATTTGTATATATTGTTCTTGAATTATTTGAAGAAAAACAACATACTAAAAATGCCAGCCTAATCTCAGAAACTGCCTTCATGGCATTTAAAAAACGCGGTGCTCCCATTGAAAACAATTGAAAACATACGACAGACGTGTGGGAAAACGCTTTGGTGGACACAAGGCCTTAGTTTCAAGTGGGGGAGGGCGCATATTTGCATTTGAATGTTGTGTTACATTCTAAAACATTTAACGTGTGATGCACACACACAACTGAGAAACATTTTGATGTTATCATAACACACACAGGGGTTACATTCTGCTCTAAAACTAATTGCCCCTTGTGGAATTAATAAATTTGATTGAATTGAATTCTAAACATTAGGCTACTTTGCAAAATTGCGATTCGATACATTCTTTTCAGTAGGCCCTAGGTGAAAATAAATTGGGTGCTTTCAATGTCTGGGGTATTGAGGAATGAGAAGAAGAGCGCTTCTGTCTCGCACGCACGCACGCACGCACGCACACACACACACACTCTGACTGCTGAAGAACCGAACTTAAGTTTTAAAAGATGATTTTATTTTAGTTGTTATGAGAAAAATAAATTCAAGTGAGCACCGAACACTAATTAATGTGTTTGTCGAACACTAATTAATGCCAGAATAAAAGCCGATTTTAGAATAGACCAACCCGATCTCACGACCAAGTCGTACGAATTCGACGAATGATTAGAAAGTGGCTAATTCGTAACAATTCATACGACCTCACTCGTACGAATTTAATACGATTTTGTTAAATCGTACATATTTTACGAATTGGCCAATTCGTATGAATTCGTACGAATGACCTACCCCTTACCCCGACCCTAAATCTAACCATCACGTGGGTTTAGACAAATCGTACGAATTAGTACGAGTGAGGTCGTACGAATTAGACACTTTTTAATCATGCGTCGAATTCGTACGAATTGGTCGTGAGATAGTGTTGAATAGACATAAGCACTCTGTGTGGTATGTAAAAATACTCAATTATAAAACTTCAATATTTCAATATTTCGTTCAAAACCACCTCAAAACACTTCAAAACCACCACAAAAAGCCGTGAATCAATGTATTAAGGCTAGGGCTGAACGATTAATTGCATTTTTGATAATATCGCGATATGATGAAACGCGATTTTGTAATCGCAAAAGCTGCAATTACACTGGTCACATGATACGCGAGAGAAAAGCAGTCAGCAAGAGCAAGCATCAACTTTGGCATGCTATGCATATAGGTCTGGCTGTATAGGTTTTCTGTATAGAAAAGAACAGTTTATTTTTAATGATAATGTGTTATTTATTCTCTCCCCAACAATTCTGGATCGATTCAGAGAATTTCAGAATCGAGTCTGAGCTTAGTTTTTAAACACAGTGATGACGCTGCAACCGCGTTCTGCTTGCTTCTATTTTCTCGCTCTCTCTCTCTCACTCACACACACGACACCGCTCGAACCTTCCGAAACATAGTATTTCATAAAGTTCGGGGTTTAACCGAATTACAAGGACATTCGCGGGCTTCATAGCACAGGTTTTGCCGCTTTGCTTGATGTTATACCGTTACTCTTGCAGTGCGCGTTCTCTCCCGCAGAAATTTTCCTTAAAAATGCTTCACAAAGGCATTATTTATGTCTTTTGGAATGCAGTTGGTTTATATATTAAAAATATGAAAATCACTGAGAAGGCTGCTTTCATTTTTAAATACTAATGCGTGCTTTGTGTAGAGCACGTGTGCATGCGACTGTGAGCGACTTATTGGTTAAATGTACTTGCACGTCAAAATGCTTTTATGAAGCGAAATTAATGTAACCAATGTCGGTTATATCTTAAATTATTATATCAGTTACATGTCAGTTATATCTTATATTAATGTCAGTTATATCTTAAAACAACAGGACAAACCACATTTACAATTTTAAAAGAGATATGTGCATTAGTGTGAATGCAGCTTATCGTATCTACTGAGGGGGAAATTACTCCAGCTCTTGAATAAGTCAGCAGCCATATCACCCTGTAGCCCAAGACTGGTTGCCCACTGAAGCTAAGCAGGGCTGAGCCTGGTTAGTACCTGGATGGGAGACCTTCTGAGAAAGCCAGGTTGCTGCTGGAAGAGGTGTTAGTGAGGCCAGCAGGGGGTGCTCACCCTGTGGTCTGTGTGGGTCCTAATGCCCCAGTATAGTAATGGGGATACTATACTGTCAAAGAGCACCGTCCTTCGGATGAGACGTTAAACCGAGGTCCTGACTCTCTGTGGTCATTAAAAATCCCAGGATGTCTTTCGAAAGAGTAGGGGTGTAACCCCGGCATCCTGGCCAAATTTGCCCAGTGGCCTCTGTCCATCATGGCCTCCTAATCATCCCCATATTACCAATTGGCTTCATCACTGTCTCCTCTCCACCAGTAAGCTGGTGTGTGGTGAGCGTTCTGGCGCACTATGGCAGCCGTCGCATCATCCAGGTGGATGCTGCACATTGGTGGTGGTTGAGGAGATTCCCCTCTCTATGTGAAGCGCTTTGAGTGTCCAGAAAGGCGCTATATAAATGTGATGAATTATTATTATTATTATAATGACATTCAGACAGCCCACTTTTAAATACTGAGACCACTCTTTGTTTATTGCTTGTAATGCTTTTTTTTGTTTCTCTTTATTTACTAGCTTTTATATTTTGAAGCTATAATAGTTTATATAGCCTATTTAAAATTCTTAACATGTAATGCTTTTTTATATTTATTTTTTAAAGTATGTGTTTTTACACATGTAATTAAATACAGCAGAAGCGCTGGTTCAGATTTTATTATTTGTTTAAACGTGCGTGTTGCATAATATATATATATATATATATATATATATATATATATATATACACACACATACAGAGCCTCTAAAGGTGAAGTGATTTCCTCAGGTGTAGTTTGAACACACGTTTAACTTACATTTGTAATGAATGTATTGTATGCTAAAGATGATTCAGCATCAGCAAAAACAGGGAGTCTATTACGTTAGCCAAAATCAACGGTCAGAACGATCCCTCGTGATTTTTGAGCACTCTTCCCTTTGATTATCTTAGCTTAATAAAAAAAAAAAATTGTTTGTATCTATAACGTTTACTTATGGTCGCTGTTACGCCGATGTTACATTACATTACACAATACAGTGCCAGATAGGAGATCGATCATTTGATTAGCTTTACGGTTGCACATTTAAATGGCCAAATAAATACAGATGTATATCAAAATGCCATGTCGAGTATTCACGTAAACACAGTAGATGTAAGTACTTAAGTACTCTCTCTCTCTCTCTCTCTCTCTCACACACACGCAGACAGAGAGGAACGATGCTCATCAGTTGATAACTCAACCTCACTGTGAAAACCCTTCACAATTAATATTGAAATTTTGTTTGCTAAATATTTGTTTGTTTTTAGTTGTCTATGGACCTAATAATTAGCCTGATGCTGTTGAAATTTAATTTTAAAAAAGCACATCTTTAATAATAATAATATTGTATATTTCTTTTACTGTGGCTCTTTTGGAAAAATGCATTAACCAAAAATAAAAAAAATTGGCTCTTTGGTCAAAAAAAGGTGCCCGACCCCTGAGCTAAGCAGTCCTATAAATCAAATTCCTCTCAGATATCACTCAATGAAACCAGGTTACAACAGGGGAAAAAATAAAAATACAATAGGATTAAGTAATCTAAACATAACTGGAGTGTGCATGTGATAAATATTTCTGATTTTATATTTGTTGGCCCTACAGTGTAATGTAATACAAGGATAACCAGAGGTTTTCACATATTGATATTTGCAGCCAAGAGTAGTTGAAGAAAGTAGCTGAAGCCTAGCCGGGCGAACTGAATCGCATAGCCGAATCTGATGGTACGGATGAGCCAGCGAGATGCCTGGGCCGATTTTTTGTTCCAGTCCAGCCCTGCTCCCCACTAAAACATGACTTTTTGTGCCTGAACAAGCACGTATGAACAACACCATATATTACAAAATACAATTGTAATTCAAACAAAACATAAGAAATGTACTAAACTGACCTCAATTGTGCCAAACTCATGTGTGCTAAACCAACTGGACAGGGGTTAGATTACACCCTCAGCCTTTACCACGTTTTTGCATGATTGTTTATTAACAAAATTAATTACAGTAAAAATTGCATGATGCAATGAACAAGGTCCAAGTCTCTACTCCATTTCAAGTGAGAAATACCATCTCAACAGCAGTTTATAAGCTTATTTATAGGACACCAAGCTAATCTTTTAAAAATTCCCTTCAGTCTCTGTGCTCACATTGTCTTAAACACCAATATTTGAACAATTCATTAAAAAAGTTAAACGATCTCAACCAAGAATTCAGTATGGAGATACAGGTTAATATCAAGGTTAATATTTTAGTAGTATTATAACACTAATATATTAGCACTATTTGTTGTGTTTGCTTGTGGGATCTGACAGAGAGCTTGCACCCAGAAACGTTGATGCGTGACAGACTAAACAAGATAATTGAGAATTGCCAAATGTTACTGGTTGGCATCAACTACTGAAACTATTGTATCTTAACAACCCTATTGCTTTTTTTTTTTCCTAAAGGACGTAGACATAATATCCTGACAGCTATCTAAATGTTGCAACTGTTTTTATTCCTGTGAAAAACAGGATGTTTTCTACAGGATGTTTTCTATTGCTTTTGTGTTTTTGAGAACCTATACCAATGGAGAATAACATGTTGCAACACTCACTGTTTACAGGAAGTGACAGGAAATTCACATATCTGTATCTACCAGCACTCACTCAGTGGTATAACACTGTGCACCCACCCCATTTCCTGAGTTTTAGTTGCTTGCAAACTCAACGTACTACAACAAACAAACCTGGCATTGTAGGAGCTGGATGTCTCTGGCCGTCTGCTGTGAGAGTTCCCTCATATGCAACAGTTATGTCATAGACAGCATCCAGATGTTCCTTCATAGTCTCAATGGCAACGTGTGACGCTTTCATTCTTGGTGTTAAAACGTGCTTCAGCACGGAAAGTCCTGCAACAGGCAAGACAACATGACTATTGCAAGTAAATTTTGTTTGAGAAACATTGATCTAGAAAATGGGGATAACATCTAGAAATGTGAACTATTTATTAGTGATAGATGATGTATTGTCTTAGGCTTACAATGCTTTTAAGAAAGGCTGCCCAAGTATGGAGCTAGGATTGTGTCTTTATTAAATGCGAGATAATTAATGATCTGAGAGAGAGAAAAATATTTGAGAGAAAAAGTTCATACCAATAGCAAAAAATAATATTTGAGAGTAAAAATAGAACATAAAAAAATCTAATTACATTTTTAATATAAATACATTTTTAAATTATTTCTGAGAAAAAAAAAATCCTAGCTCCATACCCAAGTACATAAAAAAAAAAAACAACAGTCACCAACTGTCTCTATGATATACTGTTCTTAGTGTATGCTTAAAGGGATAAATGGAAAATTTTGTTTCCTTTGTCTTTTTGTACTATTTTTTGCAAGAATGTTTTGGTTGAATGGGTTTTCAATGGATGGACAAAATGATGAGAGAATATAAAAAATATATTCATTTGTTTTCTGAAGATAATCAATACTAAAATAGTATTGATTTGGAATAACATGAGGGTGAGCAAACAATGACAGAATCTTAATTTATGGGTAAACTATCCCTTTAAAATTCTTTTGAGAAATGCAGCCATGGCTGATTAATTGACCAGTTAACTGAAATTGCCATTCCTCCGAGTTTCAGTTCAAAGTCTACTGAACTACTGTTTTCAAATATCAAAGAAGTGAATTCCAAGTCAATTTTAAGTGTGAAAAAAGGTGTTCAGTCTTGTTTTCTATATTTATATTGTATTATAGCTTTGTGTGGTTAGCAGAGCGATGTTATTCTTCAATCCGTTTACGAGAAAATAACATTATAAAAGGAACATATGATGTTGAATAACCAATGAATGCTCATTTTCATTTAACAAATTCACCCTAATACATACATTACAATATAGAAGTACGTACAAATACCGGTATCTACTTTGGTTTCATTGTTATTTATATAAAATGTAAGGACGAGGTTGAGGCAGCATTAGAATCCATTTGCGGTTGTTTATTAACAGCAGGTTGTAGTGGAAGGAATGTTAAGCCAGGCAACAGGTCAGAATCACAAAAGCAGTCCGATCTAGCAATATACACAAGGGTGATCCAAAAAGCAGATGAGGAAACAGGCAGAAGGTCCAAACACAATCATCAGTCCAAAAAACAGGCAACCAGATCAGAAGGATAATCCAAAGGGCGTGAATCAGATAAACAGGCAGAATACTTCGCAATGTGCAAACACACATACTCCTCTGAAATACCAACCAAACAGGAAATGAAAGTAGAAGCAGAGGGAGCGATAACCAGTCAATATTCAGGAGAGGGCTCCCTCTGCTGGCGTGGCGTTACAGAATCCCCTCCCTTAGGAGCGCCTCCTGGCGCTCGACGTGGACGTCCCCGTGGTCGTGGCGCTGGTCTATCAGGTCTAGCACGATGAAAATCCTCGATGAGAGAAGGGTCCAGAATATCACGACCGGCTACCCATGATCTCTCCTCAGGTCCATAGCCCTCCCAGTCCACCAGGTATTGGAGCTGACCCCCTCTCCGTCTAGAGTCCAGTAACTCATTCACCTTGTAAGCTGGAGTTCCATCAACATCCAGTGGAGGTGGCGGCTCTCAAGCCTCAGCGTTGGGGTCAGACTCCGGGTGGACCGGTTTGAGGAGGGAAATGTGAAAGGATGGAGAGATACAATGATTAGCAGGAAGCTCTAATTGGTATGTGACCTCATTTATTCTTTTTAGAATTTTGAAAGGACCAACATACCTAGGGCTGAGCTTCCTGCTCGGTAGCCGCAGCTTGAGGTCCCTCGTAGAAAGCCAGACCCGCTGTCCTGGTTGGTAGGGAGGATGTGGGCGACGTCGCTTGTTGGCCTGGAGTTCTTGAACTCTTACAGCTCTCTGAAGACGGACATGTGCACTTTCCCACACCCTCTCACTACGCCGGATCCAATCGTCCACTGCAGGGACCAATGAGGGTTCGCCAGACCACGGGAACAAAGGAGGTTGATACCCAAGGATGCACTGGAAGGGGGTCAAGCCAGTTGAGGAGTGAGTTAAACTGTTTGTTTGTCAGGAGGGCAGTTATTAGGTGCAGGCTCTTGTAGTTGTTCTCTTTGTATTTCCTCCATTTTGTCCCAGGTGACTGGGGCGATGACAATAGAAGGTTGGAGAATACATTCTGGTGTGATGTTTTCTGTGGGAAGGTCATATCACCTAGATATTTTTGTGCGTATTCTGCCCATGGGAGGAATTCCGACGAGCGGTGTTGTTCTCGGCTGCAGCATGATCGAAGATATCTGCCTATTTCTTGGTTTAATCGTTCCACTTGTCCATTAGACTGAGGGTGGTACCCTGACGTGAGACTGATGTTGATGTCCAGATGCTTACAAAAAGCTCTCCAAACTTGGGAAGTAAATTGAGTTCCTCTATCGCTGACAATATCATCAGGTATACCATAAATTCAGAAGACAGGATGAAATAATGCTTGAGCAGTTTCCATGGCAGTGTGGAGACCTTTTAGAGGAACCAACCGACAGGACTTGGAAAAGCAGTCCATTATGACAAGGATAGCAGTGAAGCTATTGGAGAGCGGTAGGTCGGTCACAAAGTCAATGGAAAGATGGGACCAAGGATGTTGTGGGATGGGTAGTGGTTGGAGGAGACCAGAAGGTAACTCTTTGGGGGTTTTAGATTGGGCGCAGACTTGTCAGGCTTTGACGTAAGTAGCTACATCCTTGGTCATCGAAGGCCACCAAAATGAGTTCCTTAGTAGTCTGAGAGTGCGAGATATATCCGGATGGCCAGAGCTGACAGAAGAATGGACCCATTGCGTTACTCTGTGACGTAGATCATGTGGTACATACTGTTTGTCAGGAGGGCAGTTATTAGGTGCAGGCTCTTGTAGTTGTTCTCTTTGTATTTCCTCCATTATGTCCCAGGTGACTGGGGCGATGACAATAGAAGGTTGGAGAATACATTCTGGTGTGATGTTTTCTGTGGGAAGGTCATATCGCCTAGATAAGGCATCTGCCTTGCTATTCTTACTGCCTGGTCGATATGTTACAGTAAACTGAAATCGTGTGAAAAACAGAGACCAGCGAGCTTGGCGTGAGTTGAGTCGTTTGGCACTCTTGATGTATTCTAGATTCTTGTGGTCGGTTATTACTTGGAAGGGATCGATTGCTCCTTCAAGCCAGTGTCTCCACTCTTCGATGGCTGCTTTCATGGCCAAAAGTTCTTTGCTCCCCACATCATAATTCCGTTCTGCTGCACTTAACTTTCTTGAGAAAAACGCACATGGATATAGTTTACTAGGTTGGCTGTGACGTTGGGAAAGTACAGCTCCAATTCCACAGTCCGAAGCATCTACCTCCACCACAAACGGGAGCTCAGGATCAGGATGTTTTAAGATGGGGGCTGTTGTAAACCTTTCCTTCAAGGCATTGTATGCTTGGTTGGCCTCTTCATTCCATTTTAGTTTCGAAGGTTTTCCTTTTAAAAGGGATGTCAAGGGGGAAGCAATCATACTGTAATTTCTGATAAAGCGCCGATAGAAGTTGGCAAACCCCAGACACCTTTGTAGCTCCTTTACGGTGGATAGTTATGGCCATTCTGTGACTGCCTTGATTTTGGATTCATCCATTTTAACTCCTTGGTGACCGATCTTGTAACCCAGGAATGTAGTTTCTCTGACGTGAAATTCACATTTCTCTGCCTTGACGTAGAGTCGGTTTGCGAGTAGACAAGAAAGGACTGTCTTGACATGGTTGATATGTTCATCTTCATTTTTTGAGTAGATTAAAATATCATCAATATAAGCTATTACATACTGGTTCAGAAGATCTCGGAAGATCTCATTAATGAATGACTGAAAAACAGCTGGAGAGTTAGCCAGACCACATGGCATCACCAGGTATTCATAGTGCCCTCTAGTGGTGAAGAAGGCAGTTTTCCATTCATCACCCTCTTTGATTCTGATCAAGTTATAGGCACTCCGTAGGTCAAGTTTGGTGTAGATGGTGGCTTATCTGAGCTGTTCCTGGGCTGAGGGAACCAATGGAAGGGGGTAGCGGAATTTCACTGTGACATTGTTCAGACCTCTATAATCAATACACGGCCTTAATCCGCCATCTTTTTTCTCAACAAAGAAGAATCCAGCTGCAGCTGGAGATGTGGAGGTTCGGATGAAACCTGAGCTTAAAGCCACACTGCGGAATTTTTGGCCACTAGATGGTGCTCGACATGTAATTTTCACGTCCAGCGTCCCTAGAGGCCACAAGCTCCGCAGCACTGTCGCAAATTAAAGTCAACAAACAGTCAACCGGTCAGCCTCCCGTGTCTTTAGATTGTGTTTGCTTGTGCTTTTACTGTCTATGGTGCTTGCAGTGTATGAGGCGGGCCGGGCAACCTTGCCGCGCTTGATTCCCTTGATTCTCGCCGGCTGAGCGAGCGAGCGGGGTGATCCCCGTGGGGATTATCATGTCTGTGAGTGAATGTGGGCGCGGGACAGCGGACACATTCACTGCACTGAAAACACCGTCGGCCAGAGCTGACTGTAACGTCATGTGTGTTGGTTTATTTTTACAGAAACCGTGGGACATGTGGTGTGTACGTTCACTACATTTAATGTAGCGTTATATTTGACATGAGCCGATTTTATTAGTGCGAGCCCTGCACTGAGGCGGGCTGTTTGTAGAAATGAACACTGGGCTGTGGGCATTTTATTACACTCATAACATCATCGGCTGTGGCCGGAATACCAGAAAATACTACACTGCTTATATGAATTTATCTATCTTATTTTTGTGCAGGCAAGCGTCCGCATCGGTCGAGCACTCTTCCTCCTCCGTTAGCTCACACCAGCGAGCGAAGCGAAAGCTGGACCAATGTGTTAATCCTAGTCCTGGCTTTTAATTTGTCACTCTCCCCTTTTCTTTTTTTAGTTTCCTCTGATAAAACCATTGCCTTCTTCCTTATAGCTGTTGTTCGGCATGACGAAAACATACAGACGGCAATCAAACGCGAGTTGAGCACTAACGTTAGATTCTGAGGAAGTTGTAGGTGGTGGGGGAAGTGACGTATGCCGTAAAGCGGTCGAATTTTGTAGTTCTTTTTATGCTCGGGTTCCCATCCGAAACCCGAAGTGACAAAGTGCAAGTAAAAGCGATACAGACACCTTCAAGAGACGGAAGACACGTCATTCAACCTATTGCAAGTCGATCTACCATCTCAATGGGTTTTGGTAATATATTATAAAGGTTGAAGAGTTCCACGGTGTGGCTTTAATGCTTCTTCGATGTACTCCTCCATGGCTTGGGTCACCTTCCTGGACAGGGGATAAACTTTACTTTTAGGGGGCATGGCATTGGGGAGTAAATTAATTGAACAATCCCAGGGGCGATGGGCTGGCAATTGCATAAGCTTTGGTTTTACTAAAAACTTCGGCCAGATCATGATAACACTTGGGAATATTCACAGTCTTGTCCGTTTCAGGGCTGTCAATGGTAGTAGTGAAACATGGTTGGGGAACTTGGGAAAAGCAATGGTTTTTACAGAAATTAGACCAATGGGTCAGCTCTCCATAATTCCAGGAAATAACGGGGTCATGGATGGATAGCCATGGAAATCCGAGGATCACTTCGTGTTTAGGAAAGTCAACGATATACAGAGAGATTAATTCTTTATGAAACAAGCCTACTTGGAGTGTTAGTGGTATGGTCTGATGAGTAATCCCTGTTCCAATGGTGTTGTCATCTATGGCTTTGATCTTGATAGGAGGATTACATGGTTGGGTGGGAATATCATACTTTGTGATAAGTTCCTTATGGATGAGGTTCAAAGCTGCTCCAGAATCGATCATCGCTGTTAATGAGATACATGCATTTTCAGTCTTTAGTTGAATGGGAAGCTTGAATGATTTGTTAGAAAAATGTTCAAGATTTACCCCGGAGGTTGTTTGGATCTTATATGGACATCCTTGACTGCGATGGCCGGCTTCACCGCAGTAGAAACACAGATTGAATTGTCGTCTTCTCATACGTTCCTCCTCAGATAATCTTGATAGACCGAGTTGCATAGGTTCGTCACTATAAATGTAAATGTAGTCATCGTCTGTGAAGTTGCAGGCGTAGAGTGTTGAAATTTCCCCACACTCCTACGTTTGGGTGCTTGTCTCATCAGATTATCAATCTTGATAGCCAGGGTCACAAAGTCAGAAAATGATAAGTCCTCTCCTTTACAAGCCAGCTCAGTTTGCAGATCAGGGTTGAGACTCCGTTGAAATACAGCTTTCAGTGAGACGTCATTCCATTCACTTTGAGCAGCGAGCGTTCTGAACATGATGGCATAATCAGCAGCAGTACGGTCAACTTGTGATATTTGAAGAATTTGTGCTGATATATCCTTGCCCCCAGCGGGATATTCAAACACTTCTTGCAATTGTTGGATGAAATAATTGAAAGATGTTTTAAATCGCACATCCGTTTCCCAAACTGCCGCGGCCCAGTCCAGAGCTCTGCCTGATAATAACGTCATCATAAAAGCACATTTCTTTCCATTTGATAAAAATTTGTCTTCTTGGTTTCTGGTTATCAAACTAAATCTTTACTTGACGAATAAAGCCTTTACATTGATCAGCACATGCATCAAATTTGTCTGGTAAAGCAATGCTTACAGTTTTAGGTGTGGTCGATGGGAGAGACTGGATGTAATGAGTCAGGTGTTCGTTGACAGACTGAAGCTTCGCGAGTTGCTCTTGGTATCCCTTTAACACTTCACTTTGATAAGCAAAAGCTGCTTGCAGGTTGGAAACTTCCGCTGGATTCAGTTTAGGCGAAGTATTCTGTAAGGACGAGGCTGAGGCAGCATTAGAATCCATTTGCGGTTGTTTATTAACAGCAGGTTGTAGTGGTGGAATGTTAAGCCAGGCAACAGGTCAGAATCACAATAGCAGTCCGATCTAGCAATATACACAAGGGTGATCCAAAAAGCTGATATGAGGAAACAGGCAGAAGGTCCAAACACAATCATCAGTCCAAAAAACAGGCAACCAGATCAGAAGGATAATCCAAAGGGCGTGAATCAGATAAACAGGCAGAATCATACACAATGTCAGAATGCAGAGAACAAAAGTAACGCTTGGTAAGGCAGATGAACTGGCAATACTTTGCAATGTGCAAACACACAAACTCCTCTGAAATACCATCCAAACAGGAAATGAAAGTAGAAGCAGAGGGAGCGGTAACCAGTCAATATTCAGGAGAGGGCTCCCTCTGCTGGCGTGGCGTTACAATAAAATAGTATATATCTGAAGGGCAGCTTTACTTTACTATTTGTATACATTAATAATTACAATACATTAATAATTTCAGAAATAGTTAAAAGGTACCTTTAAAAATTAACACTAAAATAAGCACACACACACACACACACACACACACACACACACACACACACACACACACACACACACAGTACCCACACAAAACCCAAACAACTACTTCCACCTACTCCCCCCATACCCAAATTTAATAAAGACATGGAAGTAGAAATAAATGAATAAAGCTTAATAAAGGAAAAACAATACCTTCTTTAGAGGCAAAAGCCTGACTGTCACTGATTACTTTCTTGAGCTCGGGGTTGTAACGGGTTCCCTCTGGGAAAATGACAAGATACATCTGTGCAGAAAAAAAGTGGAACAGAGTCATAAAAAAAATGCAGCACTTACTACTGTTAATGAATTATGAGTATCACAGTCGTGGGACAGGGCAATTCTAGGTAGACATTACTCAGTTGTGTCACAGAGGAAAAAATGCAAAACTCGGGAATATCAAATATGGTAAAGGGACGCAGAATCCCACAAACCCTTTGCTTATGAAGAAAGAGGAAGGGCTTGGCTCCAACTAACAGTATGACAGGAACATTTATGACACAACTGGATAGCTCAAATAGTGTCATAGTGTCATGGGAAAAAAACTATTTTAGTCCCAAAAATTCCATACAGGCACAGAGACAAGTAGAAGGCACTTTTCATTGTCTGGAAAAAGGTTACATTCATATTTATAACAACAAAAAAAATATGTATATATTTATAAAACAAAAATAACAATAAATAGAGCTACAGGCCAATAATCATTAAGAAAAAGATAATATTTTTTTCGCGATTCACATCACTATGGAATCTTTCCATAGACAAGGGACTTTAGAAAGTTGCAATGATTTATTAAAAATAAATGAATAAATCCTTGAAAGCTGCTCTGCACAGTTCCTCAACAGCCTACCACCAGTGTGATCAGGGCCTGGACTTTTTCTAACATTAACCTGACCAAAACAACTACACACATCAGCTTTAGTAATTTGACATTTAACAGGAGGTTTTTGAGTCACTGAATTCCTACAATAATCAGACAATTCATTTGTAAAATCATCAAAAACATTATCAAAATCAAAGTATCAAAACATGTATAAAATGAGTTAAAATCATCTGATAATTCATAAATCAAGTTTCCCCCCCTAAAGTAATATATTTAGTTTAGTTCAAATTTTAGACCTCACAACTACATGACATTTCCCATTTGTAAACAGTTTCATCTTTTCCTTATACTGATACTGCTAATTTCACTTAATTTGGTCCCACTTTATATTAACTGGCTTTAAGTACTATGTACTTACATTGAAACAAATAATTTGATACAATGGACTTATTGTGTACATACATGTTTTTACATTGTACTTATATTTTAAAAAATACCAGCATGTAATTACACTGCCATTCAAGAAATATTTTTAAGCAAAAAAAAAAATTATAATAATATTTATAAATTATTATTTATAATTATTATTTGCAAATTTCCCCACGACTTTTTGCCAGGGTCGATGTTGTCCCGCACGGATGTACCAATACAAATAAATATCCGGTTACCTAGCAGAGTATTCATTTGTTAAATAAGAGGCGATATAGCACGCTGAAATGTGTTGTTTTTTAAATCAAGTGATCAAAGTGCTCATTGACTCGATCTGTGGTGGGGATAAAGTGTTCTCTTGTGGCTCGTGCAGCCACAATAAACATCTTGACACGGACGCGCGCTTGATCTGTTGCGGAGAAATCTCTATTCGTACCGGTGAAATCACAATGTAAAATACACTCAAACATGTCCCTGCTTGACACATAATCGGTTATAATGATGGGGGAAAACAATAGCTATGCGAGTGTGGATTCGAACCCATACTTTCTTGCACGGCAGTCTAAAGTTCTGCCACTGGACCAACAGCACATACAATGAAAAATAGACAACAAATTAAACACAATATACTATTCAAATAGATTGCTGGACATTTGGTATTGTATAGCCTACATCTGATTTATGATTTAGCATTGTATTAGAAACTGTGGTAGGAGGGGCATCAATGAGCGCTAGAGGGGGCACGGCCCTCGAATGCCCCACCATAGCGCCGACCCTGAGGGGTTGTAATCACACATTACAATGATCCACTTGTCGGGTTTTGCTATTACCTCTGAAGAACAGTATTCCTATTTTTATGTGAAGTCTCCGGGTTGGTTTTTCTGCGAAATCCATCGGATGTGACGTGCATGCGGGCTCCCGAGCCTCTCTCCTTTTTATATACAGTCTATACGACGGCACTGCAGCTAACGACATGGAGTCTGATAACACCAAAAAACTCCTGCCTCCAGCACAACACAGACTCCAACACAAACTCCACAAAAATATAAAAAACAAAACAAAAATCTATCTGCTGAAGCTCGTCAGGTCAAAAATGAATCAGATCGACTTAGGATGAAAACACGGATCAACATCGGCAGAGCATTTGAATTATGGAGAGACCTCCGCTATTTTTATTGTGATAAATTACAAGTTTTCAGATATGCTGAAATAATGGTAAACTGTAATAAAATAGCAAGGTAAACTATAATATGCATGAGATGAATACAAAAGACTGTTTCAGGATAAAAAGTAGGTGCTTTAGGATGTAACTTAATGTAACCTAGGATGTAAAACATAATCTGAAACAATCTGTTAATCGGTTGCAATCTGAAACATCACGATAGAGGCTGCTAAAATACATATTAGTCCATGGGCCAAGCCATAATTTGGTACCACCAAAGGTGGCAAAATCTCTTTGGTACCAAGTTGTTTGTGGAGTCCATATAAGTACTTTGAAACATGATAACCTTTTCAAATGAGTAGCTTTACTAATATTTTGGGACAATCATTATTATTGCCATTATCGTCCTACAGTATCTGCCCCACAGGTTTGTATGAAGTCTATTATAAGAGGTAACCATACATGCTATATGTTTATTTTTTTCAGGACAGTCAGGGCTATCCAGATCTGCCATAATTTGACATGATATATGTGGTATACGTTTTATATTAGCATTCATATTAAAGAAAACTATTTTTTTTGCATCTACTTAACTGTATATTTGTAAGTCTATCTCAAAAGATATTGATGTTAAGGGGGGTATCTTTTCAGATATGGATAGACAAGACTGTAATCTGGTGATCTCAGAACCATGATGGTGGGGCAATCCATGATCTAGCAATTTGAAAAAATATGTATGTACTTCATATGAAATAATATTCTGCAACAAATACTGGTGCTAGTTTCATATTACTCCTCCATACCTCGTTGTACAGATAAGCCACTTTGTTTTATTTTAATTAGATTTTTCAAATCAAGATTACTCAGACCATCTTTGTTCTACAAGCAATCTAATAGCGTCACTGTGAAGCAGAATATTCATTCTTTTTTTGATACCTATTTTATACAATAACAACTTTGTGTAATTAAAAAAAGATTGAGTGTGTGGAGATGCAGAGATGGGAAGTAGTTTAAGATGGCTGAAATTTCATGTGATTTTAAAACCAGATTACTGCAGAATCAGAGAGAGCGGCTGTCAGGAAATGTGACAACAGATGCTAACCATAGGCCATGTCCACTCTAATAAGTTTTCGTTTGAAAACGTATATTTTTCTCTCCGGTTTGGCCTTCTGTCCACACTGAGATGGCGTTTTAAGTCAATGAAAACGTAGGTTTTGGAAAACGCTCTCCAAAGCGGATATATTTGCCAATGCCATTTTGTTGTAGTGTGGACTGTGAAATAGTCAGTCGTGAACTAGTAGCTGCTGAAGGTCAGTATCACAGATCCTGCTACGGGGTGTACACAAAGGATCCAAATACAGACATAGACTACGTTTATATAAAGCCGGGTATTTAGCAAATCGAATATTTTCCCCCTCTCTGTTTTCAAAAATAACATTGTTCACACACCCGCATAAATAAATACACCATCGAGCGCCATCATATCTATGCCAAACCTATTGGCGGCAGTGTAGGGGTTAAGGATAAAGCCATGCAAAGCAATCAGAATCTTCAGAATCGACAAGAGAGAACCTAAAATGCCGTTTCTCCCAGTTCACACGACAACACATAACCGGCGTTTTCAGAAATCTCCACTTTGGCCGGAGTTTTTAGAAATAATCGTTTTCTGTGATAAAAACGTGGTTTTTGTGTAAACGAGAGGCCAATCCGCAGGGAAATATCTGCATTTTCCCTTCGTGTAAACGGGGCCTTAGACAAAGGTGAAATTAACTTGGCCCAAGCAGAATGTGATTATGAAGCAGCAGAGAGAATGGCACTCTACAAAGTTTTTGCATACATTAGGGAAGGACTGATTGAACATCCTACAGTGGTACCATTCACAGACCTGACTTCTAAATTGGTGACAGAAATGGCCGAATGTGGTCTAACACAAGTGGCACCTTCTACAAAGAAACACCTACGTCACAAGGTTGAATCTGAATTTGATGAATTTTTACACATCATAACAAATGACAAAGGAAAGCTGTTGGTATACCCTGACAATTTGACAATGGATGAACTTGTAAAGGTTTGCCAAAAACTAAAAGATGAACTGAAGGAGCACAAATCAAGTATTAGCGAAGACATCATATCGCAATTGGCACTGAAGATCAGAGGTGATATTCGGAAGCAAGATATTACTCAAGCATGGCCACCACACGTGTCAGATTTTGAGATGATGAACAGTAATCCTACATGGAGTTTCTCCAGAAACTCCTAACAGGTTCATCCAAAATAGGTAATAACTCAGCCCATAGGGGGTGAAAAGGCTCACAGCTTCATTCAGCCAAGACCTTTATGCTGTTACTTGCGGCAAAGTCAAGCCTACAAAACATATTGCCTTTTGCTGTCAAGTCACTCACACCGGAAATGTGGAACTGATAAAGATACTGAATAGACTGCGATGGTGTTTCATATTCTCAGGTAGAATCAATTGACACAGCCCTTTGCCTTCAGAAGCAAGCAGCAAGTGGAGGTGCCATCCAACTACCACAAAACATCAAGCCTGGTCTCTTCACAACATTGGCATGGGACAATATAGACAGGCTAGAGGAGACAATCAGTGGTGAAGGGACATCACATGGAGTGAATGGAATTGCTGTGCAAACAAAGCCTATTGGTGATCATCCTGCTGAGACCAGAGCTTTGCCTTGCATCCCCAAAACTAAGAAGAGAAGCATTGAAGCAGTAGAGATGCTACTTTCCGTTTACAATGCAGGAGAACGTACCAAAAGTCCTGTTATACAGACAGTTGACACTAATCATGCCACCTTTCTACAGGATGCAGCAGACA